CTATCAGGAAGTCTAGGGATAGGACAAGGGATAATGGTTTTAAAATTAAAAAGGCTAGATTTAGATTAGATGTAAGGAAGAAATTCTTTACTGTGAGGGTGGTGAGGCACCAGCACAGGTTTCCCACAGAAGCTGTGGCTGCCCCCTCCCTGGAAGGGTTCAGGGCCAGGTTGGACGAGGCTGGGAGCAACCTGGGCTGAGGGAAGGGGGCCCTGCCCCTGGCAAGGGGGTTGGAACTAGATGAACTTTAAGGTCCCTTCCAACCCAAACCATCCTGTGATTCCATGATTCTAAAGGAAACTGCTCTATCATGATGCTTCAAATTAAGGATCATCCAACGCTTGCTAATTCTATAGGAATTGTTCCAGAAAAGGGCTCAAACTGTTAAGATTTGAGAGTGAGTTCTTCTGTCTTCTCTATCAGACACAGAACCACCACCAGACCAGACTCATTCCCTTGAAATGAGCTGTATAAAGCATTCCAGCTGTGGAGCTAAACTTTGGTACTTCCAGTTGATCTCCAACATCAGCAGAGTCATATTAATGAGTCAAGCAAGTTAAGAGAAACTCTGCATCTTTAGCATGAAAAACTGCAAAGGTATTAAACAGCTCCTCAGTGGTGCCTGCAGCATGGGCCCACACCCACAGCAGTTTTTAACTTTGACTGCTGTTACTCTCACTCATAAATCCATAAATCATTCTTCAATTAAAAACAGTTTTAATTAATAACAAACCCCCTGTGCTTATGCTCTGGGCCATTTACACTAAAACTATTAAACCACACCGTGTCATGTGCTAACTACAAGCATCAACAGCTTTTTTTCCAGGCCTATGAGTAGTTTGCACTAGCAAAACTAGCAAAAGCACAGTTGCAAGTAAGCACCCGATCACTCCTAGAAACACTGGGCACCCACGGGGAATCATCTCAGCAAGAACGTGCCATCCAAAGCCAGTAGGACAAAGAGGGTTGTGAAACCTGATGGCAAGCCAGCACCAAGGTAACTCAGTCCCAGGCATTCAGCTGGACAGTCACCAAGTTAACTGACTTTCCCAGCTCTTCTCCCTCGTCATCCTTCACCACAAAGCTTCCCAGTCAGTACCTCTGCCTTCAGAAACAAGACCACCACTGGCTCTGTCTCCTGGTTTCAGAACACAAACTGGGAGACCAGCACCTAAAAAAGATGCTTTCTACCAAAATCTCCATTTGCTTCCCCCATGCTTTTTCTTACCCTTTTAGGTTCAAGCAGCACTCAACCCCCAAGAGTTTGCCTCCATCTCTTGTCTTAAGCTGTACCTCAGCACTGTTACACAACACAGTGATTCAGTCTTAACAAAAAGATTCAAGCTGTATCCCATCATCTCGGACATTCAGACATCAGCATGTCTTCAGATAAGAGAGTGACTGTGGGGGCCACAAACTACACACTATTTCCTTGTTGCAAGCCCCCTTCCAGCACAAGAGACCCTCCTCCTCTTGCAGAGAAATGGCAAGCACTGTTTCCTGTGAACTTGAAACAAGAGGCTTATGTGTCTCCCTTAAACTGACAGTTGATTAGAGCTAATGAAACATTAGAGTCGCAGTTGCTCTGTAGTATTTTTTAAGAAATATTTATAGTCCAAGGGATTATAGACCCTGCCCCAAGAGATGACTCAGAGCCCGTAACAATGCTAGTTTGTACAAAACAGAGCTGAATAAATGTGCCCCAGATCACACACTGCAAAGCTGTCAACCTATGAACAACTTTAACTAGAAGTTAAAAATGGAACTGGTTTGCTATTTTATATGATTTACATTTAATATTTCAGACCAACAGTTCTGCATAATCTCCTGGAGAACAGTGGAATAAGCACTTCTGAACAAAAACATACGATTCCTTAGTCATCATATACCATGCTGTGCCAGCACTTTTCAGTCCTCGCCCTGCCCCATCTCTGCCCCACCACCCCAAGTCACTCCTTTGCTTCACAGAACCCCTTCCTCCCCTTGTCCCATGGGCTGCAGCCTACCTATATTTTAGTCATACCCATATGCTGTTGTTTTGTAATAATACATATGTGGCTTAGTTCGCTATTTTAAGTGCCCTCTCCTTTCCCATCTCTTACTCATCTGAACTACCACCAGCAATACCCTTGCCTGGAGGCTTTGAGCACACCCTGTCCAATTGCGTGGGCTATCAGAAGCCTAAGCACAGTTGATTTAACTGCAATAACCGTGCAGCAGTCTAAAACCACCAAAACTGCAATAACATCAAACATTTTACTGTTCACCAATGTATTAAGGGACAACAATTTTTCAGCCAACACAAACTTCCCCTCTCCCATGGCAGGAACCAGGCAGAAGAGCCTGCCCTCGAGTTCGCCTTGCTGCATTAACATGCAACATGGCAACATTCTACCCTTTAACTTCCTATCAGTTTCACCCTGTCCAGCAGCCATCACTGCGAAAATTACACAGCAGGTCGGGGTTTTGTGGGGGCTGGTTTGTTTGTTTGTTTGGGTTTTTTGTGTTTTTTTTTTTTTTTTTTGGGGGGGTGGTGGTTTTTTTTGGTTTTTTTTTTTTTTTTTTTTTTTTTTTATGTTAAGTGAGAGTTATTACCAGGCCCTCTCTTACATAGCAAAAACCAGGTAGGTAATATTGTGGTTTGTTTGAAATATACTGTAAAGACTGTTTAAAGTTCATGTACATTAATCAATGTTAGGGTATGACAAACAGGTCCCATTAACAACATGATCACCAACATCACCATTTTCTCTGGAGACTTCCTACCCTGTGCTAGCAGTTAATAGATTAATTAAGTCAGGCATCCCTAACCACAAACCAAAGCTGATCACCTGCACAGTTCCACAGGCTGGGTACCCACCACAACATTCTGCAGGTATTTAGAAAAAAACAGAGGTGATAAGAAGTACAGAAGAAAAATAAACTGAATTTGAGAAGTCACTGATTTTTCACTCCTTAATTCCCCCCACTGCCTGTACTATTTATAGTCTTAGAAAATATTCCAGAAAATTTCTCAGTCTCAAGATATTTGGCCCCTGCTAGGTACAATTGCTTGCTTTAGCTCAACTGCTTGATCGTCAGCCTATACAAACACATGATGGGCACTGAGAGACAACTCTGAATTACTGAATGGCTTATGCAGACCCTATTTTCCCAATTTTGTCTTTTTAACAACAGTTGTCTCAAATTCCTTGCTAGTGCTAGAATGAACAAACTTACAGTGCCACTTTAAATTACTATATCATTAAAAATGTTACATCATCATTTTATAGAAAATAAAAACCAAAGCATCGAGAATATTGATCTCTCCACTTTTACCTGTGTCTTTATTTGTACATGCGGTGGGTTGACCCTGGCTGGACATCAGGTGCCCACCAAAGCCACTCTATCACCCCCCCTCCTCAGCTGGACAGGAGAGAGAAAACATAATGGAAGGCTCGACAGGGAGATCACTCAGCAATTACCATCATGGGCAATCCAGGCTCAACTTGTAGAAATTAATTTTAATTTATTACCAATCAAATCAGAACAGGGTAATGAGAAATAAAAACTAAAAGACCTTCACCTTACCCCTCCTTTCTCCCCAGGCTCAGCTTCACTCATTTTCTCTACCTCCTCCCCTCCAGTGGCACAAGGGGACAGGGAATGGGGGCTGCGGTCAGTGCATCACCCGTTGTCTCTGCTGCTCCTTCCTCCTCAGGGGGAGGACTCCTCACACTGTTCATCCCATCCAGTGTGGAGTTGCTCCCACAGGAGACTCCTCCATGAACCTCTCCCACGTGAGTCCACGAACTTCAGTGCTTCATTAACTGCTCCAGCATGGGTCTCCTCCGCAGGGGACCAGACTGCTCCACCGTTAACCTCACCATGGTCTTCACCACGGGCTGTGGGGAAATCTCTGCTCCGGCAGCTGGAGCACCTTCTCCCCCTCCTTCACTGATGTTGGTGTCAGCAGAATTGCTTTTCTCTCGTTCTCACTCCTCTCTCCCAGCTGCTGTTGCCCAGCAGTTTTTCCCCCTTCTTAAATATGTTATCCCAGAGGTGCTACCACTGTCACTGATGGGCTTGGCCTTGGCCAGCAGTGGGTCCATCTTGGAGCTGGCTGGCGTTGGCTCTATCAGACACGGGGAAGTTTTCGGCACCTTCTCAGTCACCCCTGTAGTCCCCCTTCTACCTAAACCTTGTCACGCAAACTCAATACAGTACAGTATTATTTATACCCTAAAAGAATCACAATGGCCATTAAACAAAAAATTGACATGAAAATTAACTTTGACATTAACAGGAACATCAGATACATGAAAGGAAACACTCAACCTAAAGAGACCACAACAAAGCTCTTGAAATATAGTAAATCTTACCATTGGTAAGGCACAACAGGAGTCCCAGTAGGGTATCTACCCCATGTACACTCCACATTGTATGGCTGCAGTTTCTGTTCTTTGAGCTCCCTAGTCATGGTGTAATTCCACTGCTTGACCGTTTTTATTGCACCATTTACCTGAGTGATTGTTTCAACTCCCAAGCACAGGCAACACAAAACCCAGTACATGGCTGTTACCATGCAGAGACCAATTTTCTCAAGAATGTCATTGTGGATCAAGGCATTATCTCCAAAAATCTTCCAATGGATAGACTAATGCGCAGCTCATTACCCCTAACTGCTGAGACATTATAGTGCCTATACTTATAGCACAGGTCAAACTCTTCAGATTTTTATAACTAAACAATTATAACAAATAATTATTTCCCTGTTATTCCTAGGAAATTAACTTAGTGTCTAGGGATTCTGGTACATGAAACGTAAAATAGATAAAGCACAAGATCCAGCTAGTAAACCATGACACCTATGTTCCCATTTATTCTCCACTATAACTGGAGTAAAAAAAAAAAAAGGCAAGCTACTGCACAGTGCTATAGCTGATCTATTTGTTGTAAGCTATACTATACATGAGCAGTACTAAAGAGATTATTCAAAAACTGTTCAGCACACGTGCTTGTCTACTGGATCTTGCATTGCAGGGTAGTTCTTTATTAAAAAGCAGTATTTGTTCCACAATGTACAGTTCATATACAGGAGAACAGGGAGCCAATATGCCAACATATAAACTAAATTTGTATCTCAAGTACTATGAGACTGTTCTCCAGTTTGCTGGCAGCAACCTGACAATGGTCTTCTGGATGAGAGAAGTTAATGTTGCAAAAACAAAATGTAAAAACTGATTTGCATGAGTGTGACATGGTGTATATGCTTGTGCACACCTGGGACCTGGATGGAGATGAGAGGAATGTGACCTGGGAACACATTCCTCAAGCCACTGGACATGGATAACCAATTTTTGTCTCCTTTATGGGTAAGTTTTACCAAGGACAAATGCAGCACCAAAACCATTCCAAGCCCTATATTAAGCAAAAGACTTCCTAAAAAGGCTCAACTTATACAACAAACCAGAAAATTCAAATTAACAGAACAACTTCAAGCACAACAGCTTAACGGCAATCATTAGCATAAAGAAAGTTCTATGCACTGCTGGAACCTTCAGAAAAAATGTTTTATCTACAGAACAAAAAGCTTGCTAACGGCAGCAGAACAGTGAAATGAAATTCAAGTTACCCCACAACACAAAAATCTCAGTATGGTTTGACTACAGAAAGCTTCTACACACAACCAAGGAAAAAAGAAAACAATCAACATACTGTATCATTTCACAGTGTACAAGTTAATATTTATGAAGAAAAGCAAATTTTCCATGTGATCACTTTCATGTTTGCTTCATAAAGGACATTTGCAGATGGCTACAGCTTGTTTTCTCTTGCTCGTTCCTCTACTAGCCATTAGACTGGATTATAGCTGTTACTGATGTTACTTTACCACAGGAAACCCGACTAGAACTTTTAGCAATTATCAAGGAGATACATAAATGCAAACACACTTAAAAAAATACTCTATGCCATTTCCTTTGAATCATCAAGATTAACTGTAGAAGGGTGGAAAGATGAGCAATGCAGTAATACAATTCTCCCACAAGAAAACTGAAGATTGGATTTTACACTGGAGTAAAAACTTATATTTGAAAACAAAAAAACCCTCTTTGTATTTCACATTAGAAAGACATCACCTGAGTTTCTAACCAATTCTGCTTTTGCCATTACTTCTAAACTCAGAGATATATTATTTATGTCTGTCCCACTGTGCTGGTTTTGGCTGGAATAGAGTTAATTTCCTTCCTAATAGCTATTAAGGGACTATGTTTTGGATTTGTGCTGAAAACAGTGCTGATAACACAGGGATGTTTTCATTACAGCTGAGCAGTGCATACACAGAGTCAAGGCCTTTTTTTGCTCCTCACCCCACCAGCAAGTGGCTGGGGAGCACAAGGAGTTGGGAGAGCGGGGACACAGCCAGGACTGATGAAGGTATATTCCCATGCCATGCAACATCACGCTCAGCCTATAAAGTTGGGGGAAGAAGAAGGATGGGGGGGACATTCGGAGTGATGATGTTTGTCTTCCCAAGTCACCGTTACACATGATAGAGCCTGGATGTCCTGGGGATGGCTGACCCTGCCTGCCGAGGGGAGGTGGGGAATGAATTCCTTGTTCTGCTTTTCTTGCGTGTGCCACTTTTGCTTTACCTATTAAACTGTCTTTATCTCAACCCATGAGTTTCCTCACTTCTACCCTTTCGATTCTCTCTCCCCCATGCCAACACGGAGGAGGGAGCGCACGGTTGGGTTGGGCTTAGTTGCCAGCTGGGGTTAAACCATGACACCCATAAATCCAGAAACTACCCACAGCAAAGTGAAATCCCACCTTTTCCTCTGGAGTTGGATAGAGAGTAGTGTAGCTTTTTTAACTAGCAATTTAATCACTTGAATATGTAATGCTTGCTTCATGCCAATATTATTTTCAGAGCAAGCCAGAAAAATACTAGGAATGGCAAAAATAGCTAAGGATTTTTTCAAAAATATGTAATTATTTCATTCGAATTCCAGGTGAAGATCTCCTCAGCTCAACTGAGTAGAGGCTGGCTAAAGAACAACTTCCATCAGCACTAGAGAAAACACTGGAACACATTCAACATGAGCACAAGTCCTATTTTCTAACCAGAATTGAGGCATTAGCCTCGTCTTTGTACATGTGTATTATACATTTTGAAGAACGCTTTTCCTTCAGCTCACAAAAGTTTGATTTACAGTCTGTAGCATCAGATGACGATGATCTTCGTTCTAGTCCTGTTTGCCTTCCCGCCACTGTCGAGAACCCTCATTCCACGCTACATATACAAAGAGAGCAAGTACCACATGAACTGTAACTACAGCAACTATGGCAGCATAAAAATAGCTGTCTCTGTCCGACATTCCTAAGGTACCTGAGAAAATAAAGAAAGTAAAGAGTATTAGTTATTAGAAACACTGAAATGGCAAACCACAATTCTTCCTAAAGACCAAAGTTACATTTATCAAAAGACTGAGCTCAGAAAGATTCATAAGAAAGAATTCACTATGATAATTACAGACCTTGAAACTACCTCTGGAATAAAGCAACACTGCGATTGTTAAATATTTTAATTTAAATCTCCTAGTTTTGAAGTCAACAGCTTTGAGCACTAGAACATTCACTTTTTCCATTACTATCTTCCAGCACCAAATTAAACCCAACATCTTTTTTTCATAACTGTAATTCTCTGTGGAACAAAGAAAATAGGAGGGTAAGGGGGATAATTATATAATTTATTTGCCACTACATCAGGATAAAACTGTAGAACAATTAAATTTAGAGGAATTCTACCTTCTATATTTAGACCATAAAACAGTAATTCTTCACCAGTTAAGATACATGAATGCATCTCACATGAAATAAGCGTTCAAATATCAGAAGACCAAATACCAAAATATCATTTATCTTAATTCATTTAAAGAAAAAACAAAACCCAAAAAACAACCAGCCAAAAAAATGCACAACACCACACCAAAAATAGCACCCTCCAAACACAAACCCAACCCTATCAGTGCTGACAAATCTTGCCATTAGCTGACACAGCAGAGTTAAGGCTCATCTTGCTACGCCTCAGGTTAAAAAAACAAAACAAAGCAAAAAGCTAAAAAGGATCTCTTGAATTTTACTTAACGAGTTTTCAGCTTCAGCCTTCAGAATTACATACAACAGTACATACCAAGGGAGAATCATCTTGAAACAACTCATTAATATATTCACAAACTGCTCTTAAAAGCAGCTTTTTTTTTCCCCTCCCTGCTCTCCACTTTTGAAGGAGATAAGTTCCTAATATTGCAGGAGAGAAGTATCAAAGCCTTGCAGAATCAAGGCTAGAACATGGCTGGTTGTTAACAGTTTGCCAGAACTGCTCCAAACAAAGAGCTTTTTTTTTTTTTTTATTAAAAGCTCTACAAACAAAAACTGGGTATATGACTTAACTAGCTTACAGTTACAAATCCAAGTATGTTTTAAAAAGCAAAAAATAAACCCAGTAAACAACATTATTCTGTCTTGAGTTCACAATTACTTTGCAACACCTGCAAGAAACATATCCCTGATGATTCTGACAGAAGTCTGCTGGGGTGGTGTTAGATACCCTTTAGGAAAGGGGAACAATGCACCCATATATTATACAAACCATTGTATAACAAACAGCAAATATTAGATTGCAGACCACAATGCAGGGAAGGATGCATTGACCATTTGTATAATTTTCTGTTCTAATTAGACATTACAAGGCTGTCAGTCTGCATAAGGAAACAAATATTCAAAATGAGAAGGAGAACAGAGATACTATTAGAGGATTGTGCTTTTCCTTTTGTTTGTAATAGTAATGCTAGTTGGCAGAAACAGAATTACCTTCAAATATATAAGCCTTTGATGAAAAATATAGCCCAACAGGTAAAGTAATCATTAGAGCTGTGAAGAATAGAAGTGTTCTTAAAGTTGATGTTAATGAACCCTCATTTCTGAAATAAATAAGAGAAGTTACACACAGCAGAGTCACAATACATATGACTACAATGGGACAAGAACTCATCCCAAACAGAAGCCAGTTACTTTTCAAGAATTGAGTATGTATATCATTTGGAAGCGATAAAAACTTGCAGTATGCATTTGTTGGCTGCAATAGAAAAACCATAGTATTCAAAATGATGTACTGATTCTGCCAGTCAAAGCTCACAAACAAGATTAAAAAGAGTGTTTAGCTTTTTCCCTGCTATTGCTTTGCAAGCATTAACAACATAGAGGGGTTACATTAATATGTTTATCAGTGTATTATTACATAATTATTAAATATCTAATATTAGATACACATGTACTTGTCATATGACAGTACTGTGCATTAAAACTTGCAAAGTTCCCTCTTTTTTTGGAAAAAATAACTATGAGCCTAGGAAAATGACAAACCCTACAGGCTAGGTTACAGAGGGAAATACACAGAATGACTTTAACAGCTTACTGTTGGAAGTGAAGTTCCCTTTTATGAGGTCCTGTTCCTCTATTTAAAATAATTTCTGTTTCCACTGAGAAAGTTGGAATAACTCTAGGTATAATCAGAACATGAAGACAATATCCCAAAACATTAGTAACTTTTTTTTTTGCCTTCATAAACCTAAACCTAGAAGACCTTGTAACAAGAGAATCACAATGAAGGCTTATGTACTTGGTAAGGTCTCCCTGAACTTGATCTGCCAGAACAGGTTTTGTGTCTACAAAACACCATGTACAGCTTGTTTTTGTGTGTGCTTCCACCAGTTTTCACTCACTCTGCCTGGCTGACTACATTATTTTATGCTGAAGTAAACACAAGTAAGCAAGCCAAGCAATACCCCTCTGACTTTCAAAGACTACCAGATTCAATGGCATGTGCCCTTAAGGCTTCAAAACACAAATATGCATAAAATACAATTCAAGTCAGGGATACATAATTCTTCAAACAGCCAGACATCTCCACAGCAATTTTTGTATAAGCAGTTTCAAATGTTTTATTAAGACATATTTGTGCCATAGTATATTGTTTGAAAATACATTTTATCTTTGACATACCTTTGGAAATATAAGGGGGGGGGGGGGGAGGGGGGGAATCTCATACTCTGCCAGTCATCAAAAGACAGTGACATGCAGCCACACACAGCTTTTCCACTACAGCCAACAGTGCTTCTTGCTGATCACATACTTCCATACATTTAGGTAGCATATTAAGTCGCTTAAAAAAACCCCAGACATTCGACATCTTCTCCTTTACTAGGGCTTGTCTCACAGTCTGTTAGCGTGGAAAGCATAATCCACTTAAACCTTCCCTACGGAAATGAGAAACTACTCTCTATTTAACGCCTACCCACAGAAGAATAAGATGACCTCCAGCTTATTACCAAAGTTAAAAACTCCACACTTGACAAATACTTTTCTTACATTGGCATACTTTCATCCCGCCTCTACACAGCAAAAACAAATACTCGTGTATAACCTCAGCCCAAACACGGAGCCTCTAACCGCAAACCGGCCTCTGCACCCGGGTTTTGGGGTTGCCCGGGGTTACACAGCCCGGCCACAGCAAACCCGGGGACTCCTCCAGACCCGAGCTGTCGCTCCCCCTGTCTCGCTACCGACGCGGGACGGGCAGACACCCTTCCCCGGGTGCCTCCTCGGGGGTTTCACACACACACGCCCGCCATCCCGCCGCCGCCCTGGGCTGTGGGTACCAGAGCCATCCCCACCCGCCGCGGCCTAGCAGATACGCCTTCCCTCGGACAGGCCACAGGCCGCAGCCCACCGCCAGGCCCCGCCACCCCGCAGGGAGACCAGCCCTCCCTCCCCTCCTCTCCCCGCAACTCACTGCCTGAGGTCGGGCGCGGGGACCGCGCTCAGCGCCGCCTCGCCGCAGCGCTCCATGGCCGCCGCTCCGCGCCCCGCTCGGCCCCAGCCACTGAGCTGCCGGAAGGCGCCGGAGCGGCAGGCGCATGCGCACGGGCGGCAGCGGCGCGCGCCGCCGTCCCCATAGCAACCGCGGGGCCGCCGAGGCCTGGCTGCCGGCGATGGCCGGGCCCTGCCCGCCGTGGGCTGGGGCTGCCCTCGGGGTGTCTGGTGCTCTCGGACAGCCTTGTCTCTCTCTACAAGGAAAACGGCACGATGCAGGCTCACCGCGGGCATGAAACAGCAGCGCGATCTGTGCTGCTGCCGTAGCGCTTTCCTTGAGGGAGGTGGAAAGTGACTGTGCATGGCGCAACTGCAGTTGAATGTTGAATGTATTGGGTGAAGGTCAAGGCTTTCCAGCAAAAGGCAGTGGTCTTGGGGAGCGGGGAAAAAAAATAAATTATTTAGGCGTTTTGATGAACTCACCAGGACAAAATGCTGTAGATGAAAAATCACAGGAAAGGGCTAACGCATTCTTTAAAGGGAAACTGCAAAGTTTCTTTATGTCGTCCCTTTAGGAGGGAGGTTTGTTCTTTTACAGGTTTCCTGCTCTCCTGGCACTCAGGTTCATCAAAATTCTTTCTTCAACCAAATAGGAAATTTCTGGTCAAAATCAGAGAAATAGTCCACTACACAACTAATATGTACTGCAAATGAGAGATTGAGGCCTCAGGCACATTTTTCTCTCCTGTAGCCTGGCTGAGCACTAAGCATTTCCAAGATGACACTCTGTTTAAGCTATTAATTCACATTCCTGTTGCAGCTACTCTGCTTAAATACTTGTCAAGGAACGGACTTGAACCCAGCTTTTCAACAGAAGACCAGAGTCTCTGTGCTATGCAGTCAGACTTGTTTGCAGGGGAATTAATTGTTTATACTCAATGAACATCTCTAGCAGGAACACACAGCATTGCAAGCTTCCAAACAATAGCTCTGGAGGACATTTAATTGAATGTTCCCATATAATTGAATCTCATGTACCACAGCAATAAAATACTTGCCCCTTTCATGTTGCTATCTTGCCACTCAGCCATGGCAAATCTTAATTGTGTGAGTCACTAACTCCACACATGACTCTTTCCTGGTGTTCTCCTGCAGTGTGCAGACATCCTGCAGCCCAGCACGGTGGCCTCTGCACCGCTCCTTGTTGCAGTGCCACGCAGCATGGCACAGTGGCCTCTTCTTTCTCTCCTGGGTCAGCACGGCACTCTGCTACCTATGACCCTGGAAGAGAAGAAGTATAGGAGAGGGTTGTTTTCCTTGCAAGCAGTAAGATCAGGAAATGAGCACTTTGTTCTTGATAATTCCTGATGTGAGCTTGCCTCCCAGAGTGAATTTCCCTCACCTGGGCTGGAGGCAACAGACACTATACTGCACCAGCAGCTACAGTGTGTAAAGGTGGGAGGGAAGGAGTAACACTGTAGCACTGATTTTTCTTCCCTTTGATTGTCAATAATGAGGCTTTTTATTATGCTTTCTCCAGTATGTGTAAGAAAGAAGGTGAATTTTGATAGAAGCATTTTTTTTTTTTTCCCAGCAATGAATGCATCTCAGTTGGTAGCTGCCTCCTGTTTGTTAAGATGCAGCACAGTTCAGGCTGTTCAGTACTTACAGAGGAAGGTCTGGCAAACAATTTTACGGTTTGTGCTGCCTGAGCCAGAAAGAGAGACAATTTGCATGAGGGGGTCAAAAGAGGGGTTGTGTGGACCAGGGAGGTGCCTTGTAGCCCATACACAGTAGAATGGGGATGGAAGGAGAGTTTGCCGTGTAACATGAGCTTAAAACTTCAGACTTGTTCTGAAAAGCATTTAATTAAACTCCAGTTAGTTACTCACAAAATCCAACTCAAATGTGTGAGCAGGTTTTGTTTATTTATGGATTACTCAGCGAACAAAAATAATTTGGCAAAAAAATCAGTGCATAGTTAAGATATAAATCAGATGACTGAAAAATATGAATGTAGGTGCAGTGAACATTTAATCACTAGATACATTATGTTCTTTTCACTTCTGGTTTGACTTTCCTGTTTGTTTCCCCAGTAGAAAGAGCAATGACATAAGAGAGTTTAATAACAAAACAACAAAACAAGGAAACATGAAAGTAGAATAAGTCACTCATATAAATTTACTATAAAGGTGCATATCAATCATTATAAAGTAGCAAATCGCTCAAGGCTTAACAGCCCAAGTCATTATTTTAAAATATAAAATTACCTCATATCTCATCACACTGATGCTTTCATCTACTAAACTAATAACAGTTTTGCTGAATGATTTCCTACATATTTAAGTGCTTTTCTTTCATAAGCACATGAGGGAAATACAAAACTATTAGAAAAATGTCACAGCTGAGAGAGAAAAAAGCTTTTTATTTGCATTTTTGTGTCAGTTATTTTAAAAGATCTGGAACATACAAAGTTTTGTCCATTTGGTTCAGGTTCTATATGTCAAGTATTCTGAAATTTCAGCCAGACCACAGACCAGTCTTAACTCCTGGATTATAGAGCAAATATAAAATTTGCCCTTAAGCAGAAACTGTGCTGCAAGCACAAGAAGCTGTCAATTTAGCTGAGACCAAAGATCTGCTGTTCTAAGACACTGTCCTCAACAACGACGAGGGGATGCTTGAAGAATATAAAAAATAAAGTCTGTACAGAGCAATTCCTCTCCTGGGACACCATCCTAGCTCCCAGCAGTGAGCTCTATGGAGAGGACTGCCTGCTGGAGAAGGGATTCTTGTTTGTCCAGCAAATGCAGTGAGAAAACCTGTTAGTCTCATAACTCTGGCCACGCATCTCCAAGTGCTTGGAGCATTTTCTTTTCCTCCTCAGCTTTATTCATGCTACAGCCCCTTTAGCTGGGCCCTGTGCATTGCCTTGCAGCCTGCCTGTAAAAAATTAAAAGCAACGTGAAAACACAACCCGTTGTGTAACTGCTGAACTTGGTCATCTGGCGTAGTGAACACATTTCGAAATTCAGGTTGAGAACAGAACCTGTGAGGATGGGGTACTCTGCAGCGCAGGAGCACCAAGGCCCCAGCTTTTCTGGGGGTCTGCATCTCAGCAAGGGTGCAGGGCAGCCGGGAAGGTGCCTGCTGAAGCAATACCATCTAGTGGCAGATGGAGAAAAAGAATCTGCTCAACGTGCAGAGCTAGAAAGGTGAAAACTGAAAAGGTAATATTTAAAAACAAAGCCACCTGCTTGTGAATATTTTTTTTTCAAGGTTTGTTTCCATGGTAATGTATCAAAAAGGAAGATATAAAACAGATGATCAGAAAAGCAGCTGGAGTGAGAAGGGACTGTGATTACTGTGGCCAGTAACAGGCTCAGGTGACAAGGCCTGATCTTGCAGAAGTGCCAAGTGACTCCAAGGGTCTGGCTTTTGAAATGACAGTTCCCAGAAACAAACAGTGCTGTGCAGCATCAGCTTTGAAGCTGTTAACCACTTGCTTAGATTTAGTAAATGTTTTTACATGGTTACAGCTTAGCCCCAGAGGAGATGGTGTAGTAGACAGAGCAGCTGTGAGACAGGGCTTTGTTTCAAGTCATGGTTTGCCGTGGTTGGGGGAAGGATATATAGCATTTGTGACTGGATTCGTAGAGTGGAGGAACAATTCCTATATGCGCTGGTGTTTGTAGGGAGTGAAAACATCTTTTATTACACAATCTGACAGAACTTGAGCAAAGACAATTCTACGGGCTTTCAGTCTCTTTTGCTGAATAATAAGGACTTATGTGCTAGAACACTGTCCATCTTTTTTTCAGTGATGTCAGTTGATGTAATTAAAGATGTTAGCTCTTCCTACCAAACCCTTCCTCTTTCAGTTTCTTGATGTTCTTGGCTCCAGCAATAAATACTCTCTATTTATCTATTTTGTGAACCTTTACACCCCTAAAAGAGAGACATACATTTCACAAAAGGTGGAATGAATGGGTTGGATAACTCTTCTTGATACTCCAGGCCAAAAGCCCAACTTTTCAATACAAAGCATAAAGCATGTTGCATAGTTGGCCACCAGCTTCTGTGGAAATAGAATCAGAGTAACGTTAATGCTTGGGTTAGCAAATAAACCATTTATATGGGCATTATAGGGGTATATTCCCTGTTATAATCCTGTTGCTGTTATTGGACATACCAGGATAAGTTGGAGCAAAGAGCTAAGACACTCATACTAGCTAATGGAGCTTAGAAATCTCACAGCCTAATTTCCACTAGCCACCATTATTGTTGTCATTTTGCCAAGAAAACATAGGGCTACTGGTTGAAGTGGCTGCCTTCCACATGCATTGTGAAATACCTGAGGCGCCTACATTAATAGAGTGGGAAAGGCTTCATTCCCACAGCTGACAGAAATCAACTTACCAATTATAGCTGAGACTCTACATACTGAAGGAAAGAGAAATCCCCTTTTTCTGTAGAGTCAAATGTAAACAAAGTCTTAAATGTTACATGCAATTAAACCAGTATGTGACATTTTATATCTCTGCCCAGACAAACAATGCTGACTATAGAGTGGATGTTGTGGATTTATTTTGCAGGTTTGGGGGGTGTGCTCTTCCGAATAATAGTGTATGTTAGCACAAATGCACATAAAACACAGCCACTTCCCACTGCTCTTTACTTCTATTGGGGTTATAGATAGCTTTGGAAAATACAGCAGATTTTTGTGAAGGAGAGTTAAAGGGTTGCTGTTTCTGATGGACTCAGCCTCAGCCAGCAGCAGGTCCATCTTGGAGGCAGATGGCATTGGCACTGTCAGACACAGGGAAGCCTCTGGCACCTTCTTACAGAAGCCACCCCTGCAGCCCTCCTGCTACCAAAACCTTGCCACACAAACTTAATACAGTACAGTGTGTCTGTCCCACTGTGCTGAATTTGGCTGGAATAGAGTTAATTTTCGTCAGAATAGCTATTATGGGACTATGTTTTGGATTTGTGCTGAAAACAGTGCTGATAACACAGGGATGTTTTCATTACAGCTGAGCAGTGCATACACAGAGTCAAGGACTTTTCTGCTTCTCACACCACCCCACAGCCAACAGACCAAGGGATATTCC